ACCCTTTCATTTATTTCATTTTCAGACAAAATGGCCATTAAGTATGGCTGAAATGACCTGGTCAGTAGCAGAGGAGAGACTGGCAAAGTCAACAACCTGTTACCCTTCTTCTGGACAAGCTTGTACTCTCTTCCCTCAGTTTCTTTGATTTTCCCCAGCATTCCACACTTAAATTTAGAGATACTTTTCCCTCTTCCCTCCTATTCTTGGGCACTGATTTTATATGCTAATGACCATTGCTCCATTTGGCCACTTCAGCAAGGGGATGGGTTGGATACTGCGGCGGTGGAGAGCTCAACATTGGTCACATCTGAAGACAGTGCAGTGAGCTAATGCATATTCAAATAAGACTTTTTTTGGTTTGAGATCCAGATAGAGTCAGAAAATCTTGAACATATGACTATAATGCAGAAATCTCTTCATTCACTTTGCTATAGCCTTTGTTTTCTGAGCTAAGATGTTGATTTCCGCTACAGTCCCAATGGGATTTGCAATGTTATGTTTGCAAAAACATACAATGTGATGTTTCCTGTGGTATTCAAAGCATGTACATGTTACTAGTTAATGTTCTCTTTGTTAAGCCTTTAATGAAGTGCAATTTTGTGTATTATTCACATATTTTACAATGATTTTACAATTGTTAAAAAACAGGGAAAGCATTTAAAAAGTCATGTGTCAGGTGAAAGAGAACATAATATTGGTAGTTATTTCTATTATCATGATATTTGAAATGATTATCATATATTTGATAGCATGATATGTTTCCACAAAAGAGAGATAGTCAGAAGCATATCGGTGATATACTTTTAACTGTTTCAGAATTAGTTTTTAATATTTAATATTTTATTTAAGTTGTACCCTCCTAATGTTTGTTGTGTGAAGTTTGCTCCATTAGTTTTGAAATGGAGCTATGAGGCCAATGGAGCTAAGAAGCAATGGAAGCTGACAACCACCAAGTTAGATAGTTAGCATAAAACTGAAAGGAAAAGTATAGATAAAATTCAAGTTTTTATCCATTTTTACGGACAAATAACTTTAAAACTCGGTTTAAAGTAAGCTTGATGACATAACGCTGATTGGTGGGGTGTAAACTTCCATGGCTTGCTAGCAATGTTAGCCTCCAGGGCAAAACTAAAGAAGCAGACTTCAGAAACCAAACATTAGGCGTAAGGGAAAAATGTACATTTGATTCTTAGCCGGACCATCGCTTTAAGGTCCATCTGCTTGGTCCAACACCCCACTGAGCCGTTTCCTCTTGCAGCTGCTGTGATGCTTTCTTCACCACGTCTAATTCACACAGCTCACTGACTGCAACATGGCATCTAACTTCAGACGATTTGTGCGAGAAAGATAAAAAAACATCAAACAGCAGCTGTTCAATGAGCGTCCACGCTCAGCTGATTGTAACGTTAGATTCTGAATTTGGTTTCTTCTAATTTTGCTGGAGGGCTTGAGCTGAAGATGTGTGGTGAACATTTCAGCCTTGTGTGCTGCTATCATTATTCCTCCATTAAAGTCTGGATCCAATTGGATTTTAGAGTGAAACTGAAAGGTAGTGGTAGAACCTTACTGGTCTGACCCTAACGTCAGTGGCATAGATAGGGCAGTCGTATTAAGGCCCATAATGTGAGGGGGGCCTATTGACCATACACCCTAATGTCTTAAATGCACCCCTTATATTGCTACTTTCACAAATTAACCACATAGAAAGACATGATAACTCGACAACATCCTTCAACCATTAGCCTACATTAGAGAACCAATTTGTCTCATGCATAGCAACAATCAAATAATATTGTCATTGAAGAAAATATTTGTGTAGTGTGGATATTCATTTATTTGCACTTGTTCTTAAAATCCAAGTTACATCACTGAACTGAGTCACCAAATGGCCAAGCTATTTACTATGAGTCACACCAGAGGAGGTAAGTGAAACATTCACCTTCTATTCTTTCAACATGAAATCAAGGTGGAGTCATCAGACATCTGGTGTTGGTTATCAACAGCGGTGGGATTAAGTTAATCTTAGCCTCAGATCCTCCGCCCACTTGTACATAAAGTGTCTGATATCTATATCAGGTTAACCCTCTGGGGTCCACAAACTCACCCTTATGTCAAATTCGATGTTTCTACATATCGTCACCATCCAAAGAAAAACAAGCATCTCCATGCTAACTTTACAGGAGAGGGCTAAAACCTTCTTACCTTTTAATGTAAGTTAAAGTAAAGAGATTTTATTCCAAATGATTTTTAGAGCATTTTTATTGGTCCAATAATCATGAAATTTTTAATCAATGTAAAGGACAGCTGCTGAGCTCAAATGATGTAGATAAATAAAAATGTAGATTCTTTACATACTTTTCTTTGGACAGTTATGATATGTTTCTCTATCTTTAAGGTAATACAGCATAGATGTACAGTTCAAACATTTCCTGAATCTGTAGAGTCGCCCTTTCCATTCCACCATATCACCAGATCATACTCACACATGACTCACATCTGGAGTTATGAGGCCTTAAAGAGGGCTAGAAAACACATCATCTGCCTCTCACAGTGCATAATTGGTGGATTTGTGTGTCTACCTACATTGGTGTGAAACTGACCATTGGACACTCAGGAAATCATTAAGGACTGACCCATCGTGTCAAAAACCCTTCATTCTTCATTCATTCGACATTGGAGACATATGTGAAATGGTGTGTACAGAGTTTACAGCTGCAGTGGTTTTGAAAAGGAGCAACAACGATATCTGAACATTTTGACATGAAACATATGCATATCATGTTATATGCAAGTGCCGTTGAATGCAAATTTATGAGGATATGCAAAAATCGAGAAAATGCCCTTAGACCCCAGAGGGTTAATGGCTAAAAATCATAATTAGTAGCCTAATTGTGTTTGGGGTGGCCAAGTCCTGACTTAACCACATTGAAATGCTATGGTAGGACCTTAAATGGGCAGTTCATACTCGGAGACCCTCCAGTGTGGCTGCACAGAAGAGTGAGCCAAAAGCACAACACATCCATGGTGATGTGAAAGACTGACCTCCAGTTATAGGAGGCATTTGGCTGTAGTTGTGGCATAACCATCCATCCATCCATCCATCATCTAAACCGCTTATCCTTCTGGGTCGCGGTGGGGTGCTGGAGCCTATCCCAGCTGTCATTGGGCGGAAGGCAGGATACACCCTGGACAGGTCGCCAGTCCATCGCAGGGCAGACAGACAGACAAACACATTCACACACACACTCACACCTAGGGGCAATTTAGCATGGTGGCATAACCAGTTATGTGAAAACTGTAGTTTGTGTTCTCCTTGTCTTACATTGTATTTTTGTATTGTACAGCAAATGAGGTGTTTGGAGCAACACGACAGGAGCACTTAATGGGTCAACCAGACTTTCAGTGGGGCCATTGGCCACTAAAAGAAGACGGAAAGCCTTTACCACTTTTCCATTCAACCCTATGCAAACACTGTCTTTCATTATCTCTTAAAACACAGTTCTGGTCATTCAGAGATTAAAGCCATTCTGATTAACTTACAGGAGCTTCCTTCTGCCTTTCCACAGGGACTGTGACCCATCTTTAACTTTAATAAGAAATGAGGTTTGCACTCACAGTGACCACTGCTACCCGGTTATGAGCTCACTTACAGCACTGGGGGGCCAGAGTCCTCAGGTTAGCGTGTAAAAAGTAGGCCATATTTTATGCAAACTTCTGTATGTGATGAATAATTAAAGCGTGTTTTCAGCAATGACCCACTGATAAGCGAAAGCGATAGGGAAATCACAAGTAGCACATGCTCACGCTGCGGAGAGCGGCCTTAAATTCTGTTTTCAAAGCAGTTTTTTGGATACAGCAGCTTTGCACCCAGTGGGATAGGTGGAGGGGAGTGGTGGAGGGGGTTGTGGAGGCACCCCACCAGGCACTTGAAATGACTGACACTGGAAATTATCCACCTGTGATGAGAAACTCAATCACAATCAAATTTGTGTGTACTGCAGGATGGGTGCTCAGCTCATTAAAAAAAGTATCTAAGACACCTGATAAGATGTCTGATGAAATGTGAGGGATGTCTCACTCAAAAGGTAAGTGAGAAAGTGCAGATAGTGCCAATCAAAAGCTTAGACTTAACTGATGATGTGACTATTAAATGTCTTAACTTTTACAGCTTTGGAACTCATTTTTTGAAACCTGTAAAGATGGCCAGGATTAGCAAATTAGAATAACTGTTTACACATCTTTCTGCATAGAATATGGCTTATTATTATTTTGAAAGCACTTTCGAAAAGTGATTCCAAACTTGTGACAATACATTACTGTGCAAAAAGTAATACATATCTATATTTTAAGAGCTATTTATCTGGGATGTAAGCAAAATCCACCACAAACAAGGCAGAAATTCCTCTAGTCGGTGCTCTTAACTTTGGAGTACAATTGCTTAAACAAGCAAAACAAACTAGGTAGCAAAACACTATCATTAGCTTACAGAACAGAGGTTTTTAGGTAGACTTTCCAGCCATGCTAACTTATGTAACATCCATGGGCTAACGACAGACTTACTGTCTGTTGGACGATACTGACCATTGCCCTCAACTTTGAGCTCCACCTCCAAGAGACGTTAGAGTGGTTTTGAAATTCCACACTCAGTTTGTTCCCACACTAAGAAGACCACATTCCCTACCCACATTTAGCCAAATATTTTCCATGGCTGTCCCCAGATGTTCTCATTATGAGATCACATCTGTCTGTTTGTGGTCAGCTGGTTTTGGGCTTATCATTGTATCCACAGTATTGCAACATCAATATCATGAGATGTCATACAGTATTCACTTTTGCCTCCCAACCCTAGTTTACACTGGGAAAGTGATTTTGTTCCTATTTTCAATTACGTTCTGTGAAAAATCTTCCTCATTTTTGCCTCCCGTTTCCCTGTTAACCATTACCTGTGGGTAATGAGCCCTCTTTGTGTGGAAGTATAATGTTTGGTTGTTACTCACTCTGTGGGCACTGTTCGCTAGTGCAATTTAGGGACTGCAGATCCAGGCCCTGGCACGCTTTGCCCCCTGTTCCTGGGGCGGGCTGGGTACACTCCCTGCTGCGCCACATGGTACAGTCCGTCCCACACGCTGACCATTTGCTCCACTCGCTCCAGCCTCCATCCACTAAACACACACATTGAGAATTACAGCAAACACAGAAAAAGGAGAAACAACATTACTGAGTCATACCAACATTAGGGTGAGAAAGTTTTGTGGAGGTGATGTAGAATTTATGGGGTTATTAAAGGAAACTAGTTTGACCCTGAGCGTGAACTCATTTAGCCACACATAGAAGCAAACAAGGCCTATTTTCCCGATGCACACTGACATGAGGACTGGCTGTTTTTCTTTTCGCTGTGAATTTATGGTACAGGGGTGTAAAATAATGTGGCTTACGCAACCAAAGTGCTGTCACACTGCTGCCAGCGGATGCCATACCTAAATACACCCACGCTTGCCTTATGACCGCCGCACCGAGGATTTGAGTAGATGCTGCTATGACCCTGGTTTAGCTTCAAAATTGCCCTCACACAAGCATCCTGCTATTATGAGAATAAACAAACAGAGGCAAATTGAAACAAGGGAGCGCAGATGGTTGGAGGCCCACTCGTGTGTGTGGTTCCGCAAATTTCCCATTTCTTCCAAGGGCGTGTTAGGGAGGGTTGTGTGATCGTTATTCGGCAGCATGGCTGGAGGTGGAGGTGTTAGCGGAGCAACTCGGGGAAGGTTATGGCAGGGCTGACAGGAGCTGGGGTACGGCCGGGTTTGGGGAGGTTAGTGCCAGGCTAATGGAAGCCAGACCTGCTAATGAGCTCTCTGGGGGGCTGCTGGGATTTTCCTGCTCATGCCGGGAATGGACGCGCCATTATCCGCACACACTCCCATACAGTGTGCAGCAGCCAAATTAGGAACTGCCACTTTAAGAAATATTGCGTGCTGCATACTAGGACGGACACTGCTTTTAACCATATACTGTGCTGTGAAACTAGCAGATGGAACTTTTCTGAGAAAAGAAAATACGTTGATTCATAGAATCAGGTTTATATTTAAACTCGGCAAAGCACTGCAGTACTACTCTTATTTCATTGTGAGGTTTTGACTGGAAACAAAGGGGCTAAATTCTTAAACCACCCAACGGAACATGACCAGAATTTTTTTTCAGTGTGGTATCTAGGTAGATTAAGCTAAAGTTATTCTCGTATTGGTTAGGACATCAGTAGCTGATCTGAAAGCCTGTGTCTAGACATATCACTGTGAATGCGAGTACCAATCTAACCACTGACAAGCATATGACAAGCAATTGTCATATTGTAAACCGTGGCAGCAGCTCAGTATCTAGATACTTTGCTAAAGTAGTCACTGTAAAACTGCTACAAGGTCAAATATATGTTAATATATCTGTTATGCTTGGTTAATCTAGAATGGTCAAAACATATTCATATGAAATGCTGTTAAGTTAAAGAAGCACTACTAGAATTCCTTAGGGGTGCTAACAGAAATTAGCATTATGCTTATATATATATATATATATATATATATATATATATATATATATATATATATATATATATATATATGTATATAATATTTAGCATTTCCTTACTTTTTGACCATGTTTTGATATTTATGGCTCAAACTGAAGGCCTAAGACTAACAGTTACAGTTTGGCCCTGAAAACTAGGGCCCATCTAAAATGAAAAATGTGACCAATATCAATTTCATGGTGCTAAAATTACAATACCTGAAAATATAACTGGAAGATATGATTGAGTGACACTCCGGCCTAAATGACAAATGTAATTTTTGTAAACATGCCTCGCTGCCTCCCAAAGCAGTGCTGCGGTCATTTCTAGAGTGAGATAAAGGCCAGAAAAACCCCCTTCTGAAGATGTATCATGAAGGTAGGTGGAGCTTCTGAATGACTCCAAGCACTTTGGGGAGAATACCTGATGTCTGGCTGCTTGAAATGTGCTTTTCCGCTAGCTGGCAAATGCAGAAAGAAGCCAGATAGTGGCTCTGCTGGGGAGCCAAATCACATCTGTATTTATTAGTCTCTACATCAGTAACTGTGCTAGCAGTCAGTGAATGCTGTGTGTTGTAGTGCGAGAATAGTGGAGGATAAATACACAAAAACAACGCAAAAAGGCTGAGGAATACAATGCTGCACTACAGAACGCTCCAGAAAAAAACATGCATATATATATGTATTACACACATATATATGTATTAAACAAGGTGCGTGTGTGTGTGTATATATATATATATATATATATATATATATATATATATATATATATATATGTATGTATATATATACATATGTATATATATGTGTATATAAAAAATATATATATATATATATATATATATACACACATACATATATATATACACACATACATACACACACACACACACACACACACACACACACACACATATATATATATATATATATATATATATACACACACACCTTGTGTAACTTCCATAAAGAAGCACTGTGGAATGGGATGCTCTGGAGCAAGCAGCCAAACATGACCCTAGAGTCATTATGTCCAGTGCTAACTGGGGTATAAAGCCCCCAGTATTGGGCTGTGGAGCAGTCTAACTGGGTTCTTTGGAATCATGTTGCTCCATTCAGTATCTTTGGGATGAGTTGTAATCATATTTGCAATCCAAAACTAATCATCCAACATCAGTACCTGACCTTACCAACGCTTTTGCAGCTCAATCAAATCCACACATCAATGTTCCAGCAACACAGAAGAGTACAGACGGCAGCAAAAATGGGCAACGTGATTTCAGAAGAAACATTTGATGAGTCTAAATGTTTGGAACATAGTGTATATACAGTATAGGACAATTGTAGAGTCATTACCATAGTAGTCAACCCAACCCAACTCAAAACGGCACTACTAGAATAGAATCAATTGACTCAACTGACTAAGAAGAAGAAAACGTAGCTTCTCTCAGTAAAAAACCTAACAACTATGAAGCATTTCAGGCAGCACTGAATGTTACCACACACAGGTTTGCCTGACCTTTCATTAACCCCTCCACACACTCACATGGCAGCTTATTTACTGCATAACACACTAGAGCACCCCTAATGCACCCCTACTGAGGTCACGGCTGGGCTAAAGAACAGGTTAATAACGGTAATACGCTCTAGCGTACATTAGGGTCATTAGGAGAGGACAGAGCCATTCATCAATAGCGGTTCTGAACGATAAAGATATTTAGTCACAGCCGCCCGAGCGAGAACAGATTAATAGGTGCGGAGAGAGCATATTCGGCAAGGCAAGGAAGTGTGTGAGAGGGTGTAGGCTTTGGTGTGTGTGTGTCTGAGATGCTGACAAAGCTCTTGGTCAGGATTCAAACTGTTACATTTGGCAGCGAGAGCGGAACCAATCAGATAATTGTCCTTGCATGGCATTGAGTGGCCCTGTCCGTGGGCGGCGGCCTTATTACACCACCGAGGCCTAATGGAGGTGCGAATTAGCAAGCTAATGAAGACGAACATTAAAAATATGAATCATCGTCCACTTCAGATTTCCGCTATAAATCTGAAAAATGCAGATGAAGAGAATAGCAGCATTTGAGAAAGGCATTGTGTTTTATCGGGAATATTCAGGCTTGCTTTAGCTTGAAAGATGAACCACTCAAAATGTACTTTATGTTTTCTATTTATGATTTTAATCATATTTCACTCTTTAGATGTACAATACTAGTCAAAACTCTGGACAGTAAGAAGTACTTGGTGCTCATAGAAGAGTTTTTCACCCCTCATTTAGCCCTCTATTGCACAATGTTGCCTGAGGTAACAAACCAATTTTCCTTGCTTTAAACTAACATGATACATATTTAATGACAATAAAATAGTTAATTGTGAAGGGAAGAGTTTAAATTAACAAATTAAAAGCATGTACTTGGTCACACTCTCTCTTGGTGGGCATTTTTGGCATGGTGCATCTTGTGGATTACACATGTTTCTGCTGTCCTCAGAAAGGCAAATTTTCACCAAGTTTTTTACCATTCAGTATCACAAAAATAATTTTTATGTTATGAGAAATTGACAAAACATACTTGTTGCCTAGAAGCAACACTGTACAACAGTGGAATGGATTTAGCCAGAAACAGTGAAACTTGAGAGAAAACTGCAGTTGTTGTTTAGTTTTTCATTTATTATTATTATTATTATTATTATTATTATTGTTATTATCATTATATTTTTTCACTTTATTTAGGAAATCTAACTTGACAGGTATGCAAGATGTCAAAACATTACTGTTTCATAATGGTAACATGGTTTCTTTAAATAATACCAAAAATTCAATTGTTCTAGTTATTTATTAGCATTTTTAGTATTTAAATTGTGTAGTTATTCAGTTTTTTTCCAAATATTTAGATCATGTGCCTTATATGACCCTTTGTATCATTTCTTTCCATTGTTGCACAATGTTGCCTCCTAAAAGACCTCCACACATTCTTTAAAAAAAATGACTTCAAATATTGAAATTAGGTTCACTTCATGCAAGAAAAGTGACTTTTTTTTCCAAACACTGCTCTCATAATGCATGCAATAGGGGGTTAGGAATAACAGTGACTTCAAAGCTATGAAATGCCACACATGCACCAACAAAAAAAAATGTTAAACTAATCCAAACTATCTTCTATTTTGGTCTATGTTGGCACAGAATGTCCAATTCTGTTCAGACTTCACAGAAAAGTCTAGGCATGTTGGAGTATGTTAGGTGTAAAGAAATACGCTATGCCTGCCTGGACGCTGTCCAAGGTCCTGAAAAGGCAGTTTCATGTCCTGTTCTTTAAGAGTTACAGCCTAGAATGTGAGCACACATCAATGTCCAAAAAACAAACAAAAAAAAAAGAACAAAAAGGGGAAAAAAGCAGTGAAACGGCACTCGATCAATTTCACATTAAACAGATGCTGCAAGCCTGTCTGAAAAGAGGCAAGTCACAGAAACCCATGCGTCTGATCCAGAGCTACCGACCTGAACGTCTTTCATTTGTACAGCGGTTTAAGGTAATGCCGCAAGCTTCCAATCACTCTGCACTACAGGTGCTGGAGCGGGGGGAAGAAGTGGACTATGTGAGTATGT